CTCTTTTTGACTCGAGGGCCACAATGGGTTCTTAAACTGGACTCAGAAGAAGGAACTGCTGCCGTGTTTCCCGATGTTGCCATGTTAACACTGCTGCTGGTGAAGGAGCGGAGGTGAAAGCAAGAGAACCCTCCGCTTTAAGCTCGGGGAAAGCAAGAGAACCCTCCGCTCTTTAAGCTCCGCGGGCCGGATAGAACAGCCAAATGGGCCGGATCCACGGGCCGTAGTTTGCCCACGGCTGTTCTAGTTGTAGAATTTCCACTCAGCCAGCCTTCCTGTGGTCCGTTGTCTTTTAGTTGTATTCTTGAAGTGGTTGTGCTAAGCAGCAATCTCCAGTGTTTACCTATGCGGCCATCTTGTTTTTTCTCCCCAGTCCTGGTTTCTGCTCTCAGAGTTCCAGTCCACTTCACCCTTCCTCTGCCTGAGCACAAGGTCGGTAGTTCCACAGGGAATTTTGTGCATTGGCCTTTTAACAGGATGCCTGGATTTTCAGCTCTCACTCCCTGGCAGACAGTATCCCATTGCTTTTCACAGCCAGATGTTATGTGGGTACCCTTCTCAGTTTTGGTGCTCTCTGCTGAGTGGCCCAGCTTGTGGATTAGGTCCCAGAGTTCTCAGTGGCAACCCCCCAGAGCTGAGATATGTCTCAGGGACTTTAGTTGCTATCTGTGGGTGCCTGGCCAGCTCTTTTGCACCTCTGCCCCTCCTACCAGTCTCTATGTGGTCTCTACTTCTGGTCCTCAGGTATCAGTGTTCTCCCCGGGGAGTTTTCCATTTATTATTCAGGAAATTTTTCTGTATTTTAGTGTAATTCCAGTTTGTTCCTGGGAGCATGTCCATGCAGCATCCACTTACTCTGCACCATTTTTAATCCTCAGGACCATACTGCAAGCATTTTTAAAATAATGCAATACCTGACTATTTAGTCAGGGGCACTGACCTCTTTTTCCCTTAGGTTGTCAAATAAAGAAATGACAACAGCCAACACAACAAGAGCCATCCAGTGTGACTGGAATAAACATTATACCAGTTGTGTTTTTTTTTTGTCAAATTGGGCAAAGAATATGTATCTTTTGGTGTGCTACAGAATTTTAGTAATTAATTTATGTGTGCCATCAGATGAAAATGTTTGAAAAGCGATGCCCTAAACTAACTGGCCTGTGAGAATGGTGGAGTGGAATTTTTGAGACTCAGTTACAGTTAGAGCTCTAGTAATAACACCTTTCAGATTAGGGTGATGTTCTCTATGTCATAGTATTATCATATGAATCAATAACGAGCATATGATGTTATTTTGCCCAGAGCCAACAATTATGATTCTGAGAATCAAGGGGTAGAAATGAAAGTGGCTTCCTCTCAATATTACTTCTAATGATCCACTAGTGAAAATTTTGCTTCTTCTCATACATTTGGGCTCTATGGCTATAAAAATCTTAGCACCATAGAAGGAATGCTTCCACCAAAGTACACACCCATACTTCCGTCTATATGATCTTGTAATTCAATGAACTTCTTTAAGAGGATCATTCAGACAGTTCAAAGATCTCCATTTCTTTAGTGTCAGTTATTGAAGTTTTATTAGTATCTTTTTGTGGTGCCATATATTCATAATACATATATTCAATAAAGGACTTGTATTAAGGATATATAAAAAACTGTTCCAAGTAAATATTGACAATATAGTTAGTAGAGGTGATAGAAATTTGGGGTTAGGATACTGGGAGATTATGTGAAGAAAAGGGTAGGGATATTTATATCTTCATCATAGATAAGTTGTCAAATAATGCTATATTAGCATGATGGAACAAGAAATATATGTTTAAATATTTTTTAAAGCAATAAGGTAACAAACAGAAGACTGAAAAAATAATAATTTATGATACCAGGAGGGGAGATAATAAGTAGGGTTGTAAAAGGTAAGAAATTCTCTATCTTTTCAAATCACTTCTAAAGTTGACAAATAAAAAATAATTATATAAACATGTTACTTAAAAGCATGGCACTAACTACTAGAAGATCCAAAAAACAGTTTAGGTGGTTGCTTTTAGGGATGAAGGTGGAAAACAGTGAAGTGACATAAAAGACTTGCTTTTTAGTATGCATCTACATTATTTTATTTATGTTAAAGACACATTATTTTGATAAAAATATTTAAATGATAGAAAAAATCTATATTTACATTACTATCATTATGCAAATTATTCTAAGGCTACATAATATGCTAAAACTATGCATCCTTATTTACAAGTCACCCTCTTAGCTACCTGAAGTAGAATGTATCTAGAATGAGGATCAAATGTACTCTCTTTATATCATAAAACTATTTTCATTTGCATTATACTTGAACCATGACTTTCATGGTTGGCCCTTTTCCAGAGTTTCTAACCACTTTTAAAAAAAAAATTTTTTTTTTATTGATTTTAGAGAGGAGGAGAGAAAAACATCAATGATGAGAGAGAATCAATGACTGGCTGCCTCCTGCACACCCCACACTGGGGATTGAGCCCACAATCCAGGCATATGCCCTGACTGGGACTTGAAACCTGATCTCCTGGTTTATAAATCGACATTCAACCACTGAGTCAATTGGTACAGACTTTCAGTCAGCCCCCTTGTTTACAGTCATTCTCTTCTAGGCTTTTTAAATTGCTGAATCCTAACCCATATCCTTTCGAGGGTTGCAATGGCAAACTAGCTCTCTCACTGGGGTCCCTTTGAAGTATAGCTAGGCAAGTCTTATACACAGTTTTGTCCAACAGGATGCTACCATCTGTTTTGGTTTTCCATAAGTGAAATAAAATTTCTTATTTGCTCACGAACTCTCTTCTCTGTGTTATGGGTTAAGTTCCTGTATATTGTTCTTTCAGTGGGGTGTTGGAGGAATAGAAAGTGAAAATGTGTGCTCAGTCTACCACACATATACAAGTTGTTTGTTTATATGCATGTCTTCTCTACTGAAACTCTTTAAGGGCAAGGTTGTATTGTAAAATGCTAGCACAGTGCCAGGAATATAGTTGGCTTTAATAGCATGTGGCTCTTTGGATTTGGATGTAAGATAAAAGAACTTACAAATGACAAAAAAACAAACAAACCCTTAAGCCTAGATAAGTATGATGATTGAAATCATCAAAGGAATAGATTTTTTAAGAAAAAAATGTATTTTAGTGTTGAAAATTAATAGCTACCCCCAGAATAGGTTTTATGGCTTTGATAGTGGCAATAGAGGAAAAAATGGAAGCTACTTTGCAAAATGTGATTAACTGATACAAGGGTGTTCTTCTGTGCTAGAAACACAGCCACATGATTTCACACAAAATTATCAAGCAGAGAGAGTGCTGCTGCTATCAGAAAGAGAAAAGTGAAGTCATTTTAGCTCTTGGCTCTCACCTAACCAGGGAATCAACTTGGAATATTCCTTACTGGATAAGAAGACCAGCTCTACCCATATTAAAGCATAATAAGGAACTAATACATTAACCCAGATATGGTGTATTATTGAACTTTAAGTCCTCAAGAGTAGGTATTCAATTAATATTTAATGAGTGAATGTATCCCTAACACCTGTTCACAAACCTGATTCCAGAGTCAATAAATAAGTTTTTAGAGGTGAAAGCCAAATAAGACAATTAGTGATACTTTCATTGATAGTAGCTATCAAAGTGCCTGGCCCAGATCAGGAACTCCATAAATATTTGTGAGGCTAATAAGATAATTAATATTAACTTTTTGAAACTTTAAAAAACAGTCTGCTTTTAAAGCAACTCTAAATATACTAAAAACTACTGAAATGTACACTTTAAACAGGTGAACCTTATGATATCTAAATTATTTAGCAATAAAGCTGCAAACAAACAAAAAACTCACGAGAAACCTTCTCCAGGCCTTCTGAATGACTCTGGCAGCTTTATCCCACTTTGCAAATTCAAATTCCTTTTCTTGTACCAAAGACATTTAAAGTCCTAAAAAAAAGCAAAACAGATACATTTAAAATTACTTTATATATCCCATTATGAAAATGTCACTAGAACTCAGTGAAAATTAAATAGAAAGTTGTATGAATGAATGAATAATGCCATATGTTAAATTTATAGTAGCGATATGGTTCTGAGATGCTTTATCATAGTCCAAACTGAGTAAACTGCTATTTTAAGATATACTCTTTCTAGCCAGCAGGTGGAGAAGGCACAAAGTATAGTTTATTTGTGCATTTCAGGATACTTCAGGGAAAAAAAAAATTCTTCTTTGTAAATAGTGTAATAATCAGTTTTAATAATTTTTAAGGACACTGTCACTGTTTCTATTATTAAGTAAGGTAAATACAAAAGATAGCTTTGACATCTGAGATGTATCATAACTTTAAAAATCATATCAAATTTTATTTTCTGTATTAAGGTATTACATATGTGTCCTTACCCCCCCCTTAGCCCCCCCTCCCACTCCCCCACTCATGCCTCACTCCCCTGGTGTCTGTGTCCATTGGTTATGCTCATATGCATGCATACAAGTCCTTTGGTTGACCGCTCCCCTCTTCCCCACCCTCCCCTGCCTTCCCTCTGAGGTTTGATGGTCTGATGAATGCTTCTCTGTCTCTGGATCTGTTTTTGTTCATCAGTTTATGTTGTTCATTAATTTTAAAATGTGAGGAAAAACCCTGGCCAGCTTGCTCAGTTGGTTGGAGTGTCATCCAGCACACCAAAAGGTTGGGAGTTCAATTCCCAGTCAGGTCACATACCTAGGTTGCTGGTTTGATCCCCAGTCAGGGTGCATAGAGGGCGCAACTGATCTCTCTCTCTCTCTCTCTCTCTCTCAATTAATGAACATATCCTCGGCTGAGAATTAAAGGAGAAAAAATTAAATTTTTAAAATGTGAGGAAAAAATAGAAAAATAATTATACTGAATTTTGAAATGTGATTACCTTGATTCATTACTCTTTTTTTGTGTGATAAAGCTCTAATTTTATTATTCATTTTTAATTAGTCAATTGCCTCCAAATCTTGTCATTTCTTTTTGCTCCATCGGTTTGTAAAGTGGCCTTTGTAATACAGATTCATTACTCTTATATATTTTTTTCTGCTTTCTTTTTTTCTTAATTTTTTTTATTGATTTCAGAGAGGAAGGGAGAGGGAGAGATAGAAACATCAATGATGAAAGAGACACATTGATTGGTTGCCTCCTGCATGCACCCCGGCTAAGGCAAGGGATCAAACCTGCAATTGAGGTACGTGCCCTTGACCAGAATCAAACCTGGAACCCTTTGGTCCGCAGGGCAATGCTCTATCCACTGAGCAAAATTGGCTAGGGCTACTCTTATATTTTCTTGTCCACTGGTCTTGTATACTCTTATATTTTCTTTTTCACCAGCCAACATAGAGTCTTTTCTTGAAAGATTATATTTCTCTGTTAATAGATGTGTGATTCTTCCAGCTCTTTTCATATATATAAATTTAAACAATATATATGTATACATGCACATGGTTATATATATTACATATACACATATACATACATCATACAGGATTATTTGTTTGTATAAATGTGATAAAACTGTACATATTTTCTGCTTTCTTTACCTAACAATATGTGTTGGAGACTTTTCCAAATTAATACATTCTTTTTATAGTTGTACAGCATTCCTAAGTATGGATATGCCATAATTTAATTATTCTTTATTATTGGACATTCAGATCGTATATTAGCTGTTACAATTACAAAGTGAATAAACTTATACATCTATTTGTATACCTGTGCAACTATTTTTGTTAGATAGATTTTTAGAAGTGAAATGGCCATGACATATATTTTTCCCATTGCCTTTTCTGGAATGGGTACCAGAAACTGGTAACAGTGATTGTCTCTGGGGAGGGACCAGGGGACTAAGGGGATTTGGGTTTAGGGATGAATGTAAGATTTTATTCCAATACTAGAGGCCCAGTGCACAAAAATTCATGGACTCGGAGGGTGGGGGGCCTCAGACCATCCTGCACCCTCTCTCAGTCCAGGACCCTTCGGGGGATGTCCACGTGCCTGCTTAGGCCCGCTCCCCAGGAGATTAGGTCTAGGCTGGCAGTCAGACATCCTTCTGGCAGCCCAGGAGGCCTCGAGGAATGTCTGACCGACCGCTTGGGGGAGCAGACCTAAGCCACAGTCAGCATCTTTAGTGCTGCAACAGAGGCGGGAGAGGTTCCCGTCACCACCGCTGCACTCACAACTGTCAGCCCAGCTTGTGGGTTTTACACACACACACACACACACACACACACACACTCTAGAGACCCAGTGCACAGAAATTGGTGCATTGGGGGAGGGGAGCGGTCCCTCAGCCCGGACTAACCCCTTTCACAATCTGGGAGCCCTCAGGGGATATCCTACAGATGGTTTAGGCTCCCCCTGGGGTGTGGGCCTAAGCTGCAGTCTGGCCTACCTCTACGGGAGGCAACTGGGGTGGTCAGGGGAAGGCACCACCCCCATCACCCTGCTGCTGTTGCCACTGCCGGCAGCAGCAGCCCCCAAGGTGTTTTCATCAACCCGCACTCTAGTTCCTTCACCACGAAAAAATGACAACTTTCTTTAGGCATTTTCAAGGTGTGTCTTTCATAGGATATAACATTTCTTTCTTTCTTTTATTCTCACCTGAGGATATGTTTCCATTGAC